GACTGCTACCCTAAAGGCTGGTTGCCAGTTCAAACTCACCTGCAGCTCCACAGAAGAAAGGCCTGGCAAATGGCTTTATGGTGGTTTTGGCCAAGAAAGCCTCATGAACAGTTCTTCTCTGTAAGGTATAGAGGTGCCAACTAGGAGGCAGCTGTGGTGAGTCACGGACTAGGAGGACCCTCTGACCCCCCATCTCCTTGGTGTGCATGCTGTTTGCTCCGTCTGAACCCTGACTGTGTTCTAACGCCTGCTGCACCTTTACTGGTCTGTTCAGCCTACCCCAGCTCTCCAGTGCTGGACAAGACTCATCGATCACAGAACAGAACCAAATCCACTGCCACCAAGCTCACTCCACCTCACAGCAGTCCTGCAGGGCAGACACCCGCAGGCTTCCCAGGTGGTAAATCTTTACAGACGCAAACGGCCTCATCTTCCTCACACACTGGGACTGCTGGGCTCAAAACTGCTGTCCTTTTATTTAGCAACTGAGTATTTAACCTTGTTCAGCACCAGGCCTCCTGGCGTGGGGCTCCTTGATGGCATAATTAGATCTGAGGGAGACTAAGGCACACAGAGGCCGGTGACTGGGTGGAGTTACCTGGGAAGCACCCTCAGGCCAGAACCTACATCTTCCATGGCGTGTGGAGACTGAATTTATGTTGTTGTTGGGTGCCACTGAGTTGGTTGTGACTCACAGGTTGTACTCACAGGGTACAGCTTGCACTCTGGCCGGATCCTGTGTCATCCACACAGTCACTGCTCTCCTTGGATGTGGCTGCAGCCCCCAAGTCGGTCCCTTTGGTTGAAGGGCAGCCCTTCTCTCAGTGATCTTCTCCTTTAACTAGCATGATTCGGTGTCTATTCATTTTATAAAATATAATGAACAGGAGGAATTATATGAAACACAATGTGAGTGAAGACAGTGTGAAAAACAATGCATACAAACTTTGTAAGCAAACCAATTTTTAAAATTTATTTATTAATTTTAATGACCATTTAAAGAGACTTACATTGCACAAACCAGTATTTTTTTTAAAAAAAAAAAAAGCAAGATGTGTTTCTCCAGGGATCAGCACCTCCTGACGACATGCCCGGAGTATGTGAGACAAAGTCTCTCTCACTATTCTCATCACTAAGAAGCGTTCTGCCTGCGCTTGTCTGTGGTGGATTCTATAGTCTTCCCTAACACTACAATTCAAAGGCAGTAGGGGGCGCTAGAACTTGGCTCAAGTCGCTCCCACTGCATACAGCCCACCTGAGTAGCACATTTCCACTATTAGACGCATCTAAAATACCTTTTCTTCTTTTTCCTCTGAATTTTTAATTGAGCTTTTAACGAACGTTTATAGAGAACTTGGATTTCCATTCACACATTGTTGCACATCTTCTTCCCTACCCCTCCCACCCCCAGTTTGCTTTTCTATTTGAAAAAACTTTTCATTGTTATACAATGTCCTCTCCCCTCCTCTGGAAACTCTATGGACTTTGATAAATTACTATAGTTATAGAAAGGCTTCAGGCCTTTGTTCATAGGGTTGCTATGAGTCATGCTTGACTCGACAGCAATCAACACCACCACCACCAGTCCACTCTGCTATGCAGCTCTTATTCTGGACTGTTGTCATGCAAATAATACCTATTCATATATTCCTTTTAAACAGTTCTTTCCCTCATCTGTTTCAATGCAGTGTACATTATCCCCTCTTTCTTAGTTTTCCCTCCAACCCCAGTGTCAGTCCTGTTTTATAACAGTGGCATTATGCAGTATTTGTCCTTCTGTGACTGATATGTTTTACTCAGTATCATGTTCTCCAAGGTCCCCCATTTTGTATAATATTTCATTAGTTCCTTGTTTTTCGAGTGCTGCATAGTATTCCATTGTGTGAATATATCACAGCTTCTCTAGTCATTAGTTTGTTGATGGGCACTTGGGTTGTTTCCACCTCTTTGCTATTAGATGTGCATCATTTTCTTCTTTTCAATTGAGGTAAAATTCACAGAACATAAAATTAACCATTTTAAAGTTCAGTGGTATCTGATAGATTCTCAATGCTGTGAACCACCTTCTCCGATTCCAGAACATTTCCTGTGTCTCCAAAGGACATTTACCCATAAGAGAGGACGTCGCATCCCCTCTGCCCACTCCCCTCTGGCAGGCACGGACCCACCTTCAGTTCCTATAGATGAGGGTCTGGACATTCATGTGACAAGGAATCAAAGGAGAATGGCCTTTGTATTCAGCTCCTGTCACTCAGCATCGTGCTTTGAGGTGTGTCCACATTACAATGTCATTCCTCCTTATGTCTGAATAATATTCCATTATGTGGACACACAGACCACATATTGTTTATTCATTCATGTGTTGATGTGAGTCATCTCCATCTTTGCCTGTTGTGGGGTGTTGCTGTGAACATTCCCCTCCACACCCTCTGCTGTTTAGTTAGATGTGACTCGGTGACATTCCATCAGTTTCTGAGGCCTAAATCTTAGTTATGTGTATGTATGTGTGTGAAAGTTTCCAAATCATGTTGGTTTTTCATTCTGTCATTCATGGATTTTGTTTTATTACATTAATTACAATTAATGTAATGAATTAATTCCAAGGTAGAGTCAAACCCTTGTTGCCTTTCCCCTTTCACCCGCTGAGGCTAGGAAATCCAAACAGGAGCAGATGACTTCATTTTTCTCCATGGAATGGACGGTATTCTACTGGATTTGAACCACTGTCTCACTAGTTAGTAGTCAAACACAGAGCACACTCTGCCACCAGGCTCCTTTGCTGTGTTTGTTTGAATACTGGATTTCAATTCTTTCTGGTTTGACCTGAAAGTGGACTTGCTGGGTCATAAGGTAATTGACTTTTGGAGACATCATAGTTTACACTTTGATGTGCATGAAAATCATCAGGAGAGCTTTCCACAACAGAGGTCCAGATTGTGTGGATGGGACGATGCCTCAGAATCTGCATTTTTTCTGGCAGGACCAGTGCTGAGAGTCCACGAAGCACACTTGGGACCACCATGAGGGACTCTCACCCTCATCCATTTCATTGTGCTACTTAGAGGCTGGGTCACTTTCTGAGGGACCCTGGAATATACAGCCTCAGGTGAGGGGGTGAGCTGTGCTCCCAGGTTCCCAGGCCAGCAGGGTCCCCAGCTTCCTCCCTGTTCTGCAGCCACAGGGGGGACTTGTCCTTTCCAGCTGTGATGGTCATTTCTGCTTACGTTTCTAATGAAAACCAAAAATTAGGGCCCTGCCTAGTTCCAGGGGAAATGTCCCCTTGCCCTGCGGCTCCATGCCCAGCTGCCACAGTGACCTGTCGCTGGCACAGAATTCAGATGGCAAAAGCTCAGGAGCATATGCTGGGGAGAGGCCAGGTGTGACCTGGGTAAATTTGAACTTGGCCACTTGTGGGAGAAATCCAGAGCCAAAGAGGGATCCGAGGCAGTGCCCAGACAGAGCAGGGAGCAAACAGTGACAGTAGTACTGTGGTGGTTTCTATAGGAACCAGCTGTACCTCCAGGAGTTTGTTGTTGTTTTGTTAGGTGCCCTCGAGATAACAACCTTATAAACAACAGATCTGAGCCCTGTCCTATCTTGCTCCATTCTTACCATTCTGAGACACACGCTCATTGCCACAGTCACTGTACCAATCCATCTCGCATTAGTGGATACCAACTATGCCCAGCTTATTGTCACTTAAGAATTGTGATGTCCCTTGGGGCCGTGAGGCCCCCCAGCACCCCTGCATCATATACCCAAGGCCTTGGCTAAGCAGGCAGGCTTCGAGATGCTGACTCCTGAATACTGGCCACCTCCCCTGGCATCAGTACCCGACCCACATGCCCAGCTACATCTCACCCACTGATATCCACCACACAGAACAAAATTTTATAATCCCCTTATCACCCACTCTCACAGTGTCATGGATTTGGTCTGTACCCCCGCTCCCCAAATGCACCTGACTAAAGAGTCCTCAGAGCCAGGGCTTGGCTCCTTGCAAAGTGCAGCAGGAAACTGTCCTCAACTCCTCCCTTGACCCCAGCCACCGTGTCCTCCCCAGAGGGGCCAGCCCAGCCCAGAGAAGTGACCTTGTGGACAGAACACTGTGGGGGGCTGGAGGAGCCCGTGGTGGACACCGAGGTGGTGAAGGAGCAGGCGTGCCTCCGGACAGCATCAAGCAAGTATTTACTGAACCAGGTATTTACTGAACGCTTTTTCTGACTTCCGGCCTCCAGCTTCTCCGGAAGATCTGGGTGTCAGCAGTGTTGGAAAAGTACAAGTCATGTCCACATGGGCAGCGTGGGCAGAAAAGCCTGGAGCCCAAAGTCAGTAGCCGGGAGAGAGTAAGGGTGGCCTCTCCAGTGCGATGCACAGACTGGTCAGCCAGGTGGACGGGATCATGCTGCCAGGTGCCCACCACTCTGAGGGAATAAGCCCTGTTCAGGGTCCATGGGGAGGGGAAATCCTGATGGAGGACTCTGGAGGAGGGGTTGGGTGTTTTCCAAAAAGTGCTAGAGCCACAGCGGGGCTCTGGTCATGGAGGGGATGTAGAGTGACCACTGAGCTGTGCATGGGGAGGCAGAGAAGGCAGAAGGAGGGCGATGGGCACCAGTGTTCCAGAGGGGAGGCTCCAAGAACTCGTTCAGAGACGAAAGCTCATGTCAGATGGGTGCCCTTCAGTCCCGGAGGGCTTGATTGTTTGCACCGTTATCACCTCTGCTTCAGTGACCAACTCAGGAAGCCGAGGACTAGAGTCTGAGACCAGGTCTGGTGTCCAGGAGTGCAGGCCTCACTGCAGCATGTGGACGGCCCCTTCATGGAGTGAGGTGACCAGGACAATGGGTCAGCTGGGACAATGGGCCAAGGCAACCAGGGCAAAGGCCCGGGGAGGCCAGGACAATTGTGCAGAGCACTGAAGCCTGGGTGCCTCCTTCCTGACTTCGCATGGTAGCAGGGGGTGCAGGCCCTTTGGGGAGCTCCTGGGGGGCGGGCCAGGCTCACCCCCACCAGCGGAGGAAGTACTCATAGCTGAGGAAGGTGATGGCATTGACAGGGAAGGCCCGGGCACTGTTGATGGCGAGTCCCTTGAAGAAGACCCTGGGGCCTTCCCTCTGGATGCTGCTCACCATGCAGTCCAGCACCCCCCGGTACACCTGGCCCTTCATGCCGTCCATCTGCATGCGGCACTTGATCACGTCCAAGGGCGTGGCTGTGACCCAGGAGTTGATGCCAGCGATGCCACCTGCCACCAGCACTATGAATGAGCCTGAAGACAAGTCGGGAGGTACAGGTCACATCTCTCCAATCCTGGCCCAGCTCCCCATCCCCTCATTGTTTCCCCATTTTAGCCGCTTACTGGGATTCTGGTCCTTTGGCGTGTATTGGCGACAGATCCACTCGTAGGTCACAAAGTAGATGCCCAGGGTGGGGGTGTCCCTCAGCATCAAGGTGCCAGCTCCACGGAGCAGCCTCTGGGGTCCCTCCTCCCGGATGATGGAGGTCATGCAGTGCACGGGTCCCAGGTACCTAGGCCGAAGATTCCCCCGCCGCACCCTTGGCTCTGTCTGGTTTTGCAGCCGGACTTTGATGAGGTCGAAAGGGGCCAGGCAGTAGGCCTGGAGGGAGGGGACAGGAAGCCCTGGTCACAGCCTTGTCACATTAATAAGAGGCGGGAATTGTTGACGAGGGGCAGCGCTCACTTCTCATTCACATGGCTGGGCCAGGTTGAGGTGTCTTGATGCAGTGGGGACGGGACAGCACTGCCAGCGCCTTAGGCCCCTTCAGGTGGCAGGCTGAGGGACATGGGATGACCGTTCCAACAGTGGGGGCAGATTTCTGGTCTCCTTAACACCAAGGGACACATAATTGCAGGAACTGTCCTGAATTAGGGACACAGCATGGGACCACAGTCACAGCACAGGACTGACCCTGTCCTGGGGATAGGAGGTCACCTTGTCCAATGACTGGCCGCTACAGCCTCCTCATAGGCCCAGCGAGGACAAGCCCACCATCTCCACACTGTCCCCCCACAGTCACTTCTGAGCACAGGGAGCCAGGGGACAGGTGGAATTCTGTGGGCTCAGGCTTCCCAGGTAGGAGGTCACAGACGTGAGTCAGGGTCAGGACAGAGCCAGGGGAAGTCAGTGCTGAGGGGGTGCAGGAGGAATGAGGGTGGTCAAGGCCAAGGATGAAACAAGGTCAAAGGGAGACACAGAAATCAAGGAGCAAATGAGATCTGGGCTGAGACAAGAGAAACCTCTGAGGGCTTCATGCCTGTGTGGTTTGATACACCCCTTTACTGCCACCCACTTCTCAGGAAGGGGCCAAAGAGGAGCCAGGTCTTTACTCCAAAACAATCCTGGGTCCACTCTGACCTAGAGCAGATGGGGCAGAACTAGCTCCCGAGTTTCCAAGGCTGTAGACTTTGTCCCTGTTGTTATGCGCTGTCAAGTCGCTTGCGATTCATAGCAACCCTATGTACAAGAGCCCTAAACTCTGCTCAATTGCACTGTCTCCAATACACCCATTCCAATTACCCCAGTCCTGAATCAGTCCACCTCATAGAGGGTCTTCCCCTCCTGTGCTGTCCCTCCACCCTCCCAAGCATGATGTCCCTCTCCAAGGACCGGTCCCTCCTTACAACATGTCCAAAGTATGTCAGACGAAGCCCCAGAATCCTTGCCTCCAAGGAGCAGCCTGGTTTAACCCTCTCCAGGATGAAACTGTTTTTCTTAGTAGTCCATGGTACATTCAATACTCTTCTCCAACACCACAGCTCAAAGGCATCAATTCTCCTTCTATCCTCCCTAGTCATTGTCCAACTCTCTGATGCATAACAAGTGATTGCAAAGACCATGGCCTGTATCAGATGCACCTTAGTCTCCATAGTGATACCATTGCTCTTCAGTACTCTGGAGAGGTCCCTAACAGCAGACTTTCCCATCGCAACACGTCTTTTCCTTTCCTGGCTACTGGTGCCAAGAGTGTTGACTGTGGAGCCAAGCAAACTAAAGTGGTGAACAAGCTCAATCTCTTTACCATCCATCCTGATGCTGCCAATTGGTTCAGTGGTAAGAATCTTTGTCTTCCTGACATTGAGCCTCAATCCATATAGAGACCTTTTTATTAAGCTTTAAACAGGACAAAGACAAAACCCAAGCCGTCATCTGGAATGAAAGAAATTGTCAGCCTGATGCTAGTGGGGTCCTAGGGCTATTAATCTTTTGAGAAGCAGGCTGCCATGTCTTTCACCAGCAGAACAACTGGTGGGTTTGAACTACCAATCTTTCAGGGCATGGTCAGTCACTGTAACCACTGTGCTACCACAACTGTAGGGGTATCATTAATCATTAATCATTAATTTGTTTGAGCAGCCTGACTTTGTCCTTTGTTCCTACTCTTGGCCCTGCTGGGCCGTCAGGAGCTGGTCCCTACGAGCCCTGCACGTGTGCCTGGCTGTGCTTTGCCTGCTCAGCCTCCCCAGAGAACAAAGAGCAAACCCAAAGGCTGGCACGACTCCTGCTTCATAGACGGGTGCCTCCGGGTCCTGCAGCCTGGCCCTGTGCGGGCTCACAGGGCATGACTGCAGATGGTGCCAGGCACGTGGCCACAGGGACAGGCTCTGCACTCCGCGGGGCTGAGGACTCAGTCCCTGGGCTCAGAGGTCCCCCGGAGGACCAGTCTTCTCCTGACAGGGGGACGGGCCCCTTTGGCAGTGGGCACTGGCTGGTGTCATCTGCACTGGCCTCTATCTGAGTGAGCTGCTGGCCCCTTCCTTTTTCAATAATTTGCCCAAGCTGCCAAGGGTGGGGGGGGTGGGGGGGTGTGAGAGAGAGAGATAGATGCAGGCCCATATCCCCCTCACCTGCACAAAGCCCCCAGCACAGCCTGCAATAAAGATGTCAGCATAGCTGGGAGGATTCGCGCGCCGCTCCTGGTAGGTGGTGGAGGTGAGTGCAAGTAGGACATTGCTGTAGACCCCAAAGAGAACGGAGTTGACCACTGCTATGCTTGCAATGGGGAAGCTCATTCCCTTGAAGAAGCCCAAGATCTGTCAAGATCAGGACACAGGGGTGGGTAAGGGATAGGGTCTCCATGTTGCTCCCATGTTGGCAAAGCCTCCTCTGGCTGCAGGACAGGGTGGCTGAGGGTAAGGAAGGCCATCCTTGGCACCAAGATACCACCACCCTCTCCTCTCTTCCCAGGGCTGAGCTGTGCCAGGAGGAACTGGCCCACCTGCCCCCAGCCTCCCACTCAAGGACATGTCCGCACCGACTCATGGCGGTAGATCTGCGTGGCGCAGTCCAAGACGCCTCGGTACTTGTCCTGGGACTGCAGTCGCACCTGCAGGGGGACAGACACTTGGGTGGTAAGCAGCTTCCTCTCCTCTGGGGCTTGACCTCAAATCCCTATTCCGTGCAGGCCAGGTCCCAGAGGCCTCCCCCAGACTCACCTTTATTGTGTCAAACGGATGTCCCAGGATCAGGCCCAGGGCTCCTGGGGTGACAAAGAAGGTGCCGAGAGGGGTCAGTGGGAGGGAAGCGGCTGCTGAGGTGACCCTGGAAGTCACTTTCCTGCCAGTCTCCAGAGAAGTTCCAGTTGCCCATGCCCAATTCCCCTCCTCCATACTGTCCCCCCCCTCACATCAGGCACCTTACTAGGAAGGCACAGGGTCGGGGGTGTGAGACCCCATGTCCTGCCCAGAGGCCCATCCACCAGCCCATGTGGGCAGACACCCAGGACCCCATGCCAAATGACCACAGGTCTCTGGAAGGTTCCCCAGTTTTTCACCGCCCTGCCAGTGTTCATCTTCCTTTCTCCGCTGGTGACGGCAAGTGAGTGCCAGGCCTTGGTGCCCACTGGCTCAGCTTGCAAGGGCTCCTGTCCCTGGACAGGATGAGCTGGGGATTCCAGCCCCCTCCCCAGTTCCTGTCCTGTCCTTCAGAGCTGAGGCTGACAGTGGATTTAGAGAGGAAGCTGCATCCTTGGGGAAGTTCTGAATGTTTTCTCTTCCCCTAAGAAGTGTCACCAGCTGACCCAGAAGGGCTGCCCTCTGCCAGGTAGGGTAGAGGCCCAAAGGGAAATTCAGGACAGCGGAGAGGCCACAGGTGAGTGTCACCGGAGCTACGTGGCAGGTGTGAAAGCAGGGCCCAGGGAGCAGAGCAGCAGGTCAGGGTGCCATGGGGGACCCGGGGTGGCTCTGCGATTCCTGGGTAGGAATCACAGAAGCAGCACCGCCATCTCTGCCCTGTGCCTTCATCTCTTCTTCCTCCTTCCCGCTCCCATGGCCCCAGAAGCTCCCGGGACAGCTGGACTTTGGCCTCAGCTGCTCAGGTGTCATTGCGTCCTTGGGGGTGATGTGATGGAAGAAGAAGAAAAATGTCTCACCGGAGACCCAGCCAGCCACAAACTCCTCCACAGGCATCGTGCTGGACTAGGGCGCACTGGAGGCTCCAGAGTGGGCAGCGAGGAGCAGACGCCCGGGGAAGCTGACTTCAGCCTCGGCCTCTCACGGCCCTCGTCTGATAACCTCCCACTAATGTTTAACCCTGGTGGAGGGGTGAGAAGTGGCCTGGTGCCCAGACTTCAGGCAGCTGGAAGATGGGAGAATGCCAACCTCCTGATCCCGATAATCAGGAGGAGATGCGTGGGGCAGGAACAATGAGCCCGAGGTGACCCACTGTCTCCTGGCCAGCTGACAATGGTCATCCTTCAGCCAGGCCCCAGGCTTCACCTCAGGCCTTCCAGGACTGCCTCAGGTCAGCATGGGCTTACCAAGACCCTGGGTGGTGCAAACAGTTAATGTATTTGCCTGCTGAGAGGTCAGAGGTTCAAGTCCACCTAGAGGCACCTCAGAAGACAGACCTGTCACTCTTTGCAAAAATCAGCTACTGGAAGCCCTCTGAGCACAGGTCACTCACACACCTACACACACACACACACACAGAGCCTCCGTGCAGCAACTAGGAAATTGGTAGCCATTGGCCCAGCCCAAACTCCTGTCGATTCCCAGAGGAACACACCAGGACACCTACTGGCCCAGGATAGGTCGGGCCTGCCGGCTAAAATGGAACTGTGGCCACCAGGGGGCAGCCCCAGCCTGTGGCACTGGGAGCTGAGCGGGTGGGGAGTCTGGGGAGCAGCAGCCTTCTGGGAGTGACTCAGAATGGGGAGCCCGCCTGCTGTCCCCCAAGGCTGTTTATAACTCCCTAGTGTGAGGCCTAACAGCCCCCAGGGGCCTCTCCTCTCGCCTCTTTCCCAGACCTCCAAGCCCAATGCACTCTAGTCAATGCCAGCTCACACTGGCCCTAGGGACACACAGAACTGGGTGTCCACGTAGCACCTGATGCCCACAGACAGGTCTGATCTGCTCATTCTACTCCACTCTCACTCTATGCCCACAGTAGAACCCACCTACCTGGCTATTTATCTCTGACCTTCTGCCTGGAGCCACCTAAGGACACCTTCCTCACTGCGGCCTCTCACCAAAGCTGGTTTGTGACCTGGTTCTGTCCATCACCCCAGTGACTGTGGCAAACCCCCTGCGGGTGGTGAGCTCCTTTACTGTTAGGGAAAGGGTGAGCCTGGCCCTTCGCAGTATTCAGCGCCTCTCGGCCCTCAAGGGTTTCCGAGGCTGAAATCTTGATGGAACAACTTGTAGATTCAACCCTTCAAGCTTGATTAGTAACCAAGAGCTTAGCCAATGCAGCACCAGAGTTCACCCCCTTTCCCCCAACCAGCACCCCCCACCATCGAGTCAGTTCTGACTCAGAGTGACCTTAGACAGGGTAGAAAGGTCCCATTGGATTTCCAAAGCTAACATTTTTCCAGTAGATTGCTTCACTTGCCTTCTGAGGAGCGACTGGTGGATTTGAACTCCCAACCTTCTGATTAGCAGTCAAAACATATTAGTCAAATGAATGAGTGAATAATGGAGCCTTACAGGCAGCCCTGGGGTTCAGTTCTCACCCCCCACTTCTGAAGAGCCTAAAAGAAGGCCCTCAACACCCCCTCCCCACACCCTACCTCAGATCACACTGCAGCTCTCCTTTGCCACCTGATGCCTGCAGACAGGTCTAGTCTGCTCACTCTGCTCCTCTCTTGGTCTATACCCACAGCAGAACTCACCCACCCAGCTACTCATGTCCGACCTTCTGCTTGGCCCAAGGGCCTTCCTCACTGGAGCTTCTCACCTGGTTTTGTCCATCACCCCTAGTGGCTGCAACATAACCCCCTGTGGGTGGTAGGCTCCTTCACGGCTAGGGAACGGGTGAGCCTAGCCATTCGCAATGTTTGAGGCCTCTCAGCTCTAAAGAACTCTGACCCCACAGCCCTTCACTTCAGAATGACCCCTCATTGTGGGCCAAGCCCACGGTACCAGCCAAGTTTACCCCATCACCACTCATGCAGAGCCAGGTGGAAGTTAAAAGCATCCACTCCTGGGTCTTCTTCAATCCTGCTGCCAGGCCCACCTGGCGAGGGAGTGCTCTGAGCCTGTCCAGCTCACACCCTCCACACTGTCCTCAGTGCCTACCAAGCCAACCGCAAACCCTGGTGTCTGCGCCTCCCACCGCCGGTGCCACCCTATCCTCGGCCATGAGGTTGTCCTCCCACCTGTCCCAACCAAACTTATGTGCGTCCTGCCGCCGGCAATGCCTTTCCTGGTCCACAGCCCTGTCACCCAGCACCGTATCCAGCCTTTGGGACTCTCCCAAAGCCCCTCCTCGATGGTCTAGACCAGGATTCTAAGTCCTTGATGCCACAACTGCAGACTTAAGTGAGTCTGTCAGCTTTATGAGTCAAATCTTTCTGATCCTGCTTCTTTACAAGGAGACAGAACATTCACTTCTTAATACATTCATTATAAGCAGGACTTGATGTGGATAGCAAGGAAAGAAAAATTACACGTCAAACCCTGCAGTGGGAGGGTTTGAAAAGGCAGAATGAGCCCTTCCAGAGGCTGATTTGGGAGGCTGGGTAACTGTCAGGACTGTGGAGAGGTGCGTTCATCCAGAGCAGGACACCGGGCACGTTTGTTTCTGACGCTGCCTACCAAGATCCTCGGTTGCTATGCAGTGCACACACCGCCCTCGCTTTATAAATGCGAGATTAAGTTTTAACAGGGTGCTGAGGTGCCATTCTTCCCCTTCCAGCTATCATTCCAATACACCTGTTGTTGTTGTTGTTATGTGCCGTCGAGTCGCCTGCGACTCATAGCGACCCTATGTACAACAGCCCTAAACTCCGCTCTGTCCTGTGCCAAT